AAGTCTTTTTTTTCTTTTCTTTTCTCTTCCCGCCCCCTCTCCGTTATTCGGTTTTCCCCCTTTTTTTTTTAATTTAAAGCGTCCGCCTTCCTTTCTTGCTTTAAATGCCTGCTGCCTTCGGGTTGAGTTGGGGAGGGAGGGGGAGAAGGGCAGCGCGCGGGGGGTGGAAGGGCCCGGTGCATCGCAGCATTTGCAGGAGGCGCACCCACACAAACACACATAAATATATATAACTTTATTTATTTACGTATACGGGCCGACGCGCACGTGCACGTCGTGCGCTGAAAACAACGGAGGCGGCAAACGGCAGCCAAGACACGAAACACACACACACACACACACACACAGAGCGAGAGAGAGGTGGAACGTGAGGCGCCAAGGCAAGCGGCGAAGGTGGTGGTGCCTGCTGGCGGCGAGCGCACGGTGCCAGACACACGCCGACGCAGCCCCGTCATTGCCTCCTCCGCTCCGCCCATGTCCCTCTCCTTGAGACCCTTTACTTTACTTCCCTCACTCAGCCCGTCTCTCTGTTGTTTGCCTACTTCTTTGATGGTTGTTGTTGTCCTTTTCTTTCCCCCTTCTTCTTTCTTCGCCTTCCTTTTCCTTAATGGTCGAAAACAATCCCTTTTTGTTGGGTTGCCTCCTTTTACTCGACTCCCAACTTCTTCCAACGCCACGACTGGTAGAGGATGGACGCAGGCGCAGGCGTGTGTGCAGTGGCAGCGGCCTCGAGGCAGAGACCTACGCCCGCCGGTTTCTAGCGCGCACACACACACACACACACAACATGCGCGCTGCACCATCAAACGCGTGCGCCGCATGCGCAACAAAAAAACTTCCTTTGCATGCGCCTATTCCTCCCTCTCCCCCTCCCCCTCCCTTTCTCTCTCTCGTTCTTTTTCTCTCCTCCGTGTTTGGGAGTATCCACGCGGCTCTCACTTCTTGCCAAGCCTATTTTTCGGGTCACTGTACTCGGTGAGGGACAACCAACCTTTGGCCTCTGCCTCCGCAAACTCCGCCGGAAAGGCGGCCTGCTGCCAGCGGAGGTAATTCACCACCTGCCGCTGCAGCTGCCGCGGGTTCAGCTGAAACGGGTTGAGTTTGCGGTCAAACGACATCGCCCTGAAGTCCGTGCCATGCTTGTGGATGAGGTTCGCCACGGCGGTGCCCTCCGCCTCACTGACGGGCCTACCGATGCGGGACTTCTGCCGCCGCGCCTGCTGCTCCGCCATCGCGTCCTCCTCCTCTAGGCGGCGGCGCGACTTTGGCCGCACCTGCTTCTTGCGCAGCTCCACGACGGCCTTGGGCGCACTCGGGTCCGTCGTGAGGCCGAGCCGGGTGAAGTTCTGCGCGGCGGTGTTGGCGCCGTCGAAGTATTTTTGCGTAAAGTGGTTGTTCGCGCCGGCCACGTCCACGCGGCGCACGTGGGCGAAGCGGCGCTTGAGGTACTGCTTCTTCCCCACCCGCGTGACGGGGATGTTCTTCCGCACCTTCCCCTTCGGCGTCACACGAAGCCGGCCCATTGTTTCGCCCACGGCAGCAGCAGCAACAGTTGTGACTGCGGCAGGAGGAACGCACAGGCGCAAAAGAAAAGAGAGAGAGAAAAAAAAAGAAGAAGCGATGGCGGAGGCGTTACTTCAGACATTCAACCCCAACTTCGCCTGTGCGGCCTCAGTCTAATACATCATACATGTATATTATGCACAGACACACACGCAGAGGGAGAAGAGAAATAAAAAGCGGGACAAGTGGCAGGGGTGGGTGTGTGCGGAAAAAAACAAAAACAAAAACAAAAACAGAAGTGCAGAGAAAGACGGAAAAGAGAGATGCTGTAATACGATAATTAGTTTCCTTCGGTGGGGGGCATCGTTTTTCAACGCGGTCGTACGTCATGCACCACGCCGCCTGAGTCGTTGCTCATCTTGCCACGTCAGTGTCGCCTGAATCTGCTGGCAGATGGACTGTTTCTCGTTCGCTGCGAGGACGGGCTGCGGTGCGGGGTGCGTGGCGAAGAACCAGCGCGAAACGCGCTCCACGACGTCCACAAAGCGAACGCGCGAGATTTGGTTGGAGTCGTACAGGGGCTGAATCTCATTCTTGATGAACTGCAGCACCATCCTCCGCTGTGCCGCGGCGGCGGGCGAGGCGGTGCGCTGCAGGGAACTCACCACCAGAGGCTCGGCGGGGCTGAACGGAAGCGGCTGAAGTCCGCCGCCGCGCGAGGCCCGGTCCTTGTGGGCCTGCATCAGCCGCAGTAGGGCGCCGCAGCGGCTCCCACGGTGCAGCGTGTGGGACGCGGCCGCGTACAGCCGGGCCCCCTCCTGCCGCAGCGCCTCGGCTGATGGCAGCGGGACGGGGAGGGCCGACGCACGCACGGCGGCCGACTGGAACGGCTCCACGGCCGCAAGAACAAGCGCCTCCTCGCGCAGCTTCCACTCGGCCAATTGGTATTCCAAGGCCTCCAGCCGCCGCTGCGCCGCACGCCGTGCCGCATCATTGACGCCGACCAGCTCCGCCGCTTCAGCACGCAGCCGCAAACAGGAATCGTGGCACTCCACAACGCGGTCCTGAATGTACGACTCGGGCTGCTCCTGCTGCGGCGACGCCGGTCCCGCGTTGGCCGCCGCCGCTGGGATCCACCGGGCCGCCTCCTTTGCCAGCGCCACCACGCGATCGAAGCTTTCCAGCTGCTGTTCTACGCCCGCCATCGGTGGCGCACGCGCCGGGGTCGCCACCACCGCCTGCTGCGCCCGGTGAAGTTGTTCCCGCTGCCACCGCAGTTGCGCCGCAAGGCGTGCGTGCAGCAGCCTCTCAAGCGCCAGCTCCGACGCCCCCTTCAGCAGACGTGACATTAGGCTCCGGCGTGTCGAGAGTCCGTGGGAGCGGCCATGCAGCATCGCCTCCCGCACGCCGTTCAACTCCCGCACCAGAAGTTGTTGCTGCCGCCGCAGGTGCAGGACCGTCGCCCGCGCCTTCGCAAGGCCCGAGGTGAGCGTCAGCGCGAGCTCCTCCTTCTCCGCGAGCGATTGCGTAAGTGCCTCCTCCTCGGTGGCAAGCGCCACGTCCAGGAGGTTCTTTTCGGCCGCGAGGGACTGCAGACGACGTCGCAGCTCTCCGCAGCTTGCCTCTAGCCGGGGCTCCTCCTCCGCTGCCTCGGCCAGCTCAAACTCCAGCCGCAGCGTCTGCTCTGCCCACGACTGGCGCCGCCCGCCCCCGCTTCCATTTTTGCTACTCCACCTGCTGCTGCAGCTCCTCGCTGTCGTCCCCGCCGTCTCCGCGTTTTTCCTCACGTTCTCATCATACTCCCGCTCTTCCTCATCATAACTCGCGTCTCGAGCGTCCGCCGGGTTTGTGGCAGACGCCGCCCGCAGCTCATCAATGTCTCTAGCTTTGGCGGCGATCTCTCGCCGCGCACGGTCGATTGCGCCGCGCACGGCCTCCACCTCGTCTCTGAGCACCTGCAGTCGTTCTTCTACCGCCGCACGGGTTGACTCCAACCGCAGCTGCAGTTCCTGCTCCTCGAGCTGCTGCCGATGCAGCCGCGCCCGCAGCCGTCGCAGAGACTCGGCAGGTCGCAGGTCAGGCGACGTCTCGTACCGCTCTGGCACAACGTAGCGCAGGGAGGAGACATTCCCCACGTCTTTCTTCAGTAATGAAAAGGCCGTCTTCACACGGTGGACGCGATCCGCCCGCCGCAGTTCCGTCTGGGCGGCACGGTGTCTCGCCAACTCCGCCCTCTTCGCCGCAATGGCGCGGTGGACGGCCTCCTGCACACTCTTCAGCCTCCGTCGCCGTCGCCGTCGCTGCCGTAGCCGTCCGCCGCCCGTTGCAGCCGCTTCATGTCCCAAAACGCCTTCACGTGTGGGTCGACGTACCGCGCCACGGCGTCCCGGATCTCCTGCCTTGCCTCCGCCTCCGTCATGGAGGCCAGTCGCCGCAGCAGGATGAAGACAAACCCACTATCGTGCGGCGCCGTGAACCACCGCTCCGCCGCGGACGCGGCATCGACGCGGCACTCGTCCCGCAGACCTGCTCGTATCGCCTCCTCCAACGCGGCGGCAGCGGCGCCTGCGCCGTCGCGTCCCGCGCGCGCGCGGCCCACCGTGTACTTTTGCGTCGCCTCGCCGCCTCCCCGCGGCCCCGGACCGGGCGCTGGGAGGGAGTTCGTGAAGGCCGCCTCTCGCTCCCTGCGCCGCAGCTCTGCGAAGGCGACCGCGAGGGCGTCGCGGACGTGCAGGTCGAGGAGCTTCTCCACCAGCCGCAGCGTGTGCTGCGGCGGCTGCGCCTGGGGCCGCTCCGCCCCCGCAGCTCGGCGGCCGCCCACTGAGGACGCCATGCGCGGTCGCCTTCCTCCTCCTTCTTTTGCGCTGCCCCCTTCACCCCCGGGCCGCTCGGGCCCTCTTTTTTTTTTGTTTTGCGGGTATAAATATAAAAATCAAACCGGAGCCAACAAACAAACAAACAAACAAAAACGACCAGAATTTCATGACACAAAAGCAAGACAACACCCACACATACACACACACACAAAACGAACACACTCGTCACATGAGCCTCGGCTGCCAGCGTCGTTTTTTTTTATATATTTCTCAAGCTCGCTCCCCCTTGCGTTTTTTCTTCCCTCCCCAATTCTATACAAAGTTACACAAATCGGCAACGCCTCGCATCAAGGAACAAATCGTACAGGCACCACGTACACACACCCAACAATCAAATCGACCAACAATAAGAAACAAAGAAACAAAGACAAATAAAAATACAACCATGCACATGAAAGTTGCCGGCATGTGCATATATGTTGCTGTGTATCTACACATACATGTACAGAAGCCTCTCTCTCTCTCTCTCTTTATCCCTCCCTCCCTCCCTCCCAAAGAGAAACCTTATATATATTGATAGGTAATATATATACGTACATGGTAGTTTGAAAATATTGTAGATGTACAAATGGCGAGACACATGCGTGAACAGAGAAGTATATATATATATATATGCATGTGCTCCAGGCTTTATATATATATATATATATTTTACTTTTTCGCTTCGCTTGCTCGTTATTTGTGGTGGGCAGCCCCGCCCCTTCCCACTTCTACAACACGCAGCACGTGGGTCGCCTCCTGCTCCCGCTCCCGCAGCTGCCGCGTTTACACCCACGAAGTCTACGTCCGTTAATGCGGGGCGTGGCGGGAGGGAGGGAAGCACAGAAACGTAAACACGCACACGCGCACAAAAAAGAGGAAAAGAAAAACTATGGCTACCAGAGACACCGACGAAGACAAGCACGCGCAACAAAACGAAATATCAAGCGGGGAAACTTGGGCCACCCCCTCCCCATAAAAAAAAACAGCACCAAAAGCCCCTCCCTCCACACACACACACACACACACACAGAAAGAAACCCAGTAATAAAAAGGAGGAAAAAACAATAACACTAAAAATTCGAGATGAGGGTGGGGGGGCGTTTGAGGAGAGGCGCAAAATAACAAAAAAAAACCCTATGGGGGTTAACGCAGAAAGACGGCAATAAGAGGAAAAGCAGCAACAAGAAAAAAACAAACTGAACGTTTATCCACCGTTGCCAGCTGGTAACCGCGTGGTCGGAGCCCTGTTGCCAGTTATCGTTCGGTGTGTGCCACGTGGATAGGGAGCCGTTCCCGGTGCCGCGGTGGCCGGTGCTGCACGCGTGTGGCCCCGGCGCCGGACCCGTGACGTCCCACAGTTTGGGGCGCGCGGTCGGCGAGGCGATGGTGTCGGTAGCCGCGGGAGTCCCATGGGCTCCGCACGTTAGGGGTGAGCGTGGCCGCGGTGCTGGACGTGGTTGTGATCGTCCCTAGACTACCCCGGTACGTGTGACGCGTCAGCGTCGCCCCTCTTTCCTCGGCATGCTGCGACTCCTTCAGCTGGGCCTGGCGCCGCTTCACCGCGGGACAAACGTCAGAGATGGCGGCACCAACCAGTGAATCCGCAAAGGCCGGTAGCGGAGATGTGGAGTCAGCGGCGTCCTCAAAGGCCGCCACCTGACGCTCCACCATGTCGTGAAAGCGGGTAGCCGCACTCACGTGACAATTCAGTGCGTGCCTCCCATTCGTTTTGTGGTCACGACGGTACCGACGACAGAACCACGATTGCGGCTGCGTCTGCCGCTGCTGTAGTTGTTGCAGCGTGTGTTCCTGTTTACCTCTATCAAGGCCATTATTTACTGTCGCACCCGCAACAGTTTCAGGGCACGGTGCCGCCAACGCCACGTGCTCAACGCCGCCATTGCGGGCGGCACCACCCGCAACCTCTACACCCCAGCCTTGCCCTACTGGAGCCCGCTTCACGTTCCCCGAGAGGTGTTGAAACGTCGCTGCATCTGCGGTTGCCGCCACTATGGGGGCTCGCTTACCGCCTGTGGCTCCACTGCGCATAGAAGGGTTCTCCGTGTGTCTCGCACTCGTAGCAATTTCTGGCGTCGTACTATTCACCGCCTCTCGACGGCGGCGCGACGCAGCCGACCGACATTGCAGTTGCGTCATCGCCTTGCAGTTCACATGGGCCACACGATGGTCAAGGAAGGTATTGTGCTCGCCTAGTGTAAGTGGACAAACGCTGACCTCCGCACTGCGTTGGGCAGACCTCTGCGGACATGCGGTGTGCTGTGGATCGCTCAGCCCAACTTCTTCCGTGGTCGCCTTGCTTCCGCTGACATCCGCCGTCATCGGCTTGCCGCGGTTGTTAGGATATTCCTGGTAGCGGTACGCCGTGTAGACGCGGCTGTCGTACAATCCGCGACAGGCCTTCACCATGTGTCGGACGTAGTCAAGGCTGTTGTTGTCGCCGTTGGTGAAGAGCGGCATGGGAGAACTTGGCTCGCGCCGCGTAGCAGGATGTCCATCTTCCTCATCTACAATCGGAGTGGAAGGCAGCGGAATCGTAGTGCGCGGGTTATTTGGTGTTTCCTGCAGCGATAAGACACCGGGTTGGAGATGCTGCTGAAGCAGCTGCATCTGTTGCTCTCGTTGCAGCTGCATCTCGAAGGAGCGACTGAGTTGATCCTCCGTCAGCGCATCCGCAAAGAGGTCCACAGGGCTTTCCACGCGGGCGGAGGGATTGGTGTCGTACGAGGCGCCAATGCACACCGCAATTTCACTCCCCCCAACAGCATTTCTCGCAGAGGCATTCTCCTGCTGCAGCTGAAGACACGGGGTGGGGGTGCTGTCCGTGGAACGCTCCCCATGCACGCTAGAAATGGGCAGCGAGGTGGCGGAGCGGAGGACTTGGTGGGCGTCTTGGGCCTTCCCGCCATCGCCGTCTCGCGCCGCGCTGCCATCACTGCCCGCCTTGTGAGCAACCACAGCTACGGGAGAGGCGGCGGCGGCGACGACGTTTGGCTTCGGTGACGACAAGCGCGACGCCGAGGACGCGGCTGTGGCCGGCGCTACGGCGCTTTCCTCCCTTGACGGGCTGCGGCCACGCGCGGAGTTGACAAGGCGGTGACACCCGCTCAGCAGCTCCTTCAGCTCCTGCTCAACGAGGCGAAAGTCACTAGTGGTGCACGACTGCGCGGAGGACGACGACGTCGCCAATGACGTGTTCGGATTGGCGCCGGCGCAGGCGAGCGGCTTCGTCGCGGGCTCTCGCGTGGGGTACGCCGGCGAAGAGCCCCCCGCCGGTTGCCGCGGCCGCCACCCATCGCGCTGCGGCGGGTGGGGCCCCCTGCCGTTCTCCTCGACGCGCTGCGCTGACGGCTGACTCGCGGGGGACTCCGCCCGCGTGGTCGCCTCACTGGCGTCCGTCAGCGTGCTGTACCTGTCGAGCAGCCGCCGCTCTCGCTCTCGCTCCCGCTCCGCCGCGACCGCCCCGTTTCTGGGGCCGCGCCGCTGCAACATCCGCCGCCGCTGTGGGTGACAGGGACGCGGTCGTTCTAAAGCAAAACGAAACAAAACACCCAAAAGGGCGTCCAACACAAACGCGCGCGGCGGACAACGGGCCGCTGTGCCTGCGACGACGACGACGACGACGACGAGCGCCTCGACACGGCCGTCTCCCCCCTCTCGCTCCCACACGCAGAGGGCAGCTGCACGTTATCTTCAGCAGCCCGCCTTTTTTTTTTGTTCTGCCCCCACTGCACAACGCCTCTGGTGGCCTCGTCAGCTGTTATTCGTGAATCCAATTCCCCCCTGCAGCCTATCTCTCCAACTCTTCTTCGTTAGCTTCTAAAAACAACAACAACCACACTTCTTCTGTTATGCCACCTCTTTCCTAAAACTCTTCTTCACTCCTTTATTATTATTATTATTATTTTTTGCTTCAAGCTTTTTGTTTTTGTATTCCTTCTAGTTTTTTTTATTTCTTGGGCTCTTTGCCCCCTTCTTGCTGACCTGACTCGGCTTTTCTCCACTCGTCCCTCGCCTGCGCTGCCTTGTGCGAACAAATTTATTGTCTCTCGTGTCCTCGCTGCTCGCCTTCTCCCTTCGCAGATATATATATATATCTGTACGTATAAATAGATATATGGCTCCTCTATCAATCTATTTCTCTCCCAGTTTTCTTACTACAAGCTCTCGCCCACACTCACTACACGCGTAGTGTAGGCGTGGGTGTGTGTGTGTTGATGTGCAGTGGGCGGAGTACACGGTGAAAAGAGACGCAGAGAAGCGTGAAGGGAAATACACGCGTGTTCCACACCCCAGTGTTGTAGTGAGAACTGTAATGAGTGTTTATTTGTGGCGGGGATCAGGCAGAGGGTGGCACAAAGGGCACACGTGTGTGACTTTGTTGGTTGAGTTTGCTGTCGAAGCTACATGCAGAGCGGCCACACCAAAGTACAATCGAGGCAGGTAAACAGACCTGACTATGGCACACATGAACAATAAAATATTTTTATATATATACATGCATGCAGGCATTCATCCGCATCACACACACGATGGAAGGGGGAGGGGAGGGGCGACTGCGAAGCCCGGAGCGCACAGAGAGAGAGAGAGGGAGAGCGCAAGGGCAGCGGCGATACAACAACCACGACAGCAGCAACACATGTAGACACCCATTGCTGGTCGAACAGTAGCCGGCGGAGAAACACACAGAGAGGAGGTGACAGGTGCCCACTCTCGCGCCCCTCAGGGGTCGTCCCTGTAGGTGGAAAGACTTCGCTCATTTTCATCCTCCTCCTCCTCAGGAACGTATTTGACGCCCAGCTGGGCCGCCGTCGCCGCCCGCAGCAATCCCCGCTTGTGTCCGAGCTCCAAGTCCTCGCGGAGCTTCTTTTCGAGTGTCTCAATGCGGCGGCGGTCGTGCTCGGCCTGCAGCACCGCCGCCCGCCACTCGTCAACCCACAACTGCACCATCACCTCCTCCATCTCCTCCCGCTTCCGCGCCTGCCGCTGCGCCAGGTACCGACGCAGGCGGTACTGCTGTCGTGCCAGGAAGCCCCGCATCACCGCCTGAATACGAACGACGGCCGCGAGGACGAGGGCCCGCAGCGCGCGTGCCCGTTCTTCCTCCTCCCGTAGACGGCGGCGCGCCAGCCAGCGGCGCACGGCGCGCTGAATGACCGTCGCGGACTTGTCGCGGCGAAGCTCACGACGGACGTAGCGGCGAATGTACAGCTTCTCCGTCAGCCGGCGACAGCGACGCCCCTCGGCGAGGAAGCAGCTCTCGCGGGCGCGCAAAAACGCGGTGGTGAGGCTCACCGTTCGCTCCTTCTGCATTTGAATAGAGGCCGCCAGCTGCTCTGCCGCCCGGCGCCGGAGGTGGAGGGCGAGGCCAAGCTGCGCACGGGCGGTGCCACCACGACAGAGACTTTGGATGGTTACGGCCGCAAGGAAGAATCCGCGCCCAACGGCCGCGCGCCGATGCCGCGCCGTGCGCTTGGCGACCACCATACGTCCAAAGCACTGAAGCGTCATGGTGGCACGGAAGACACGGTATTCATTGTCGAGGCGTTCCTGATTCATCGCCAGCTGCACCCGCCGCAGGTAGCGAATCTCGCGTCCGGCGCAGAATCGCCGGTAGGCGCGTTGTATTGTCAACACCGCCCTCACAATGCGGCGACAACGCATCAGGGCGTTGTGTAGCACCTGCCGCTTAAGCGCCGCCTTCCAGCCACTTTGTATGACGGCGGCTGCCTCCTCCCGTCGGACTACACGCTGCTCCGCCTCGCGTCTAAGCCTGTTGCACCGCCGCGTGTACTCCTGCAGGCAGAGGCGAACGAGGTCTGTGCTGTCCTGCAGGCGGCGCTGTCGAGAGCGATGCTCCTCCACGCGTTGCTCCCGCCTCGCGTGCGCCTCACGCCTGCCCAGGATTCCTCTAAAGCGGCGCTGAATTTGCGTCGCCGCATACGTTTGCTGCCGGAACAGCTCTTCACGACGCTGCTGCTCCTCCACCTCCTGCGTGCGCCGCCGCCAGTACGCCTTGCGAGGGACAATAATGCGCCACCAGCGCGCCAGAATCGTGGCCACTACCTCCCGCAACCTCAGCTCCTCCAGACTACGCAGTGCAAGTAATTTGCAGAGCTCCCTCTCCCGGCGTCGTCGGCACAGAAAGGCCTTGACGTAGCGGGCGATGACAAGCGCACTCCGGAACAGCTTCTCCTCCCATGCCACACGCTCCTCCACAGCTAAGGCACAAAGTTCCTGTTTTTTCCGCAGTTTACGCTGCTCCATCACAGAGCTCAGCATTCCCTCAATGCACCTGGCAGCGGCCTTTTGCCTGCGGTAGACCTCTTGGTAGAGCACCTGCTGGCGCTCCCGCAGCATGTGGCGGGCACGGTTACAACGCCACGCACACTGAATACGAAGCGCCATCCTCATCCGTCGCTGATGCGTGACGTTGAAGTAAACGATGAGCTCCGTCTCACAGCGCTCCTTTGCCTCCTCCACGGTCTCCTTCTCTTCCTCTTCTTCCTCCTCACTTTTTTCAGATCCCTCCTCTTCTTCCTCTTCCTCTTCCTCCTCCTCTTCCTCTTCCTCCTCTTCTTCTTCCTCCTCCTCGCCTTCTGCTGCCTTGGGTCCAGCCACTTCCTTTGCACGGAGGTCAACGGACTCTGGCCCTCGGGGGGCCAGTGCGTCTGTCGTACTGGGGCGCCGTGACGCGTCCGGCGCGGCAGTGTCCGCACGAGATATTCTTCCCGGCGCCGTCAAGGGGCGGGGAAGCACTACACTTTTCACTTCTGCTGCTTCCTCCCCGTCGCCCAGGGCCCGCTCTACCGCCACCGCCGCGCCATCGACGGCGTGTTCGCTGGATTTACGCTCGCGCGCCAAATGAAACGGCCGCTCCGATGAGGGGGAGAAGGAGGAATCGAAGGAGGAGACCTGCGGGATGTCTTCTAGCATCGGTCTCGTCCCCGCTCGCTCCTCCTCCTTCTTCCTGGCCGCCGCCTCATCACCCGCCTCACCGCCGCGGCGTGCGCCTCCGTCCACCTGCACCTCCCCCTCCGTCGACTCCCGCTGCTTTCGTCGCTTGCGCCGCTGCTTGGGGATTCCCTCGCCCCTCCTTCTTTGTTCAGGCCCCCCGCGTGGGCCTCGCGCCCCTCATCCTCCTCATAGCCGCCGCCGCCGCCGCCAAACACGTACTTATCCACCGACTTTTTCTTCTTCTTCCGCTGCTTCTTCGCCTCGGGATGGGGAACGTCCCCCCCGGCGTCCCAGTGCTCCGGTAAGAAGGAGCGCTGACGGCGTTTGCGCCGCCGCATCTTTTTTTCCTCCTCCTCGCGTTTTTTCTCCGCCTCAATCTCGGCGTGCTGCCGCGAGTACAGCGTGTCAACCACCACCACGCCACCCAGCCGCAAGGCGTCGCTGGGGCTACGAAGTCGGTGGCACTGCAGTACAGCCTGACTCACCTCTGCCGGCCTATGCTTTGCGCGAAAGAAGTTGTCGTTGGAGTGCAACCGTGAGAGGCCCCTCCTGCCATGCACGCTGCCCATCCTCGACATTCTTTGATTGTGGGGATGCGAGCCCGTCGAACCCACAGGAGAGGCGGCGCTGAGAGCGTGGTCTACGGGAGGGTGCTTAGAGTGAAGTTTAGCTTGCGATAGACGCCCCGAGAGATCCAGGAACGAGCTCGGCCGCGTCAGTCTGCCAGAGTGCGGCACGCTTGCGTTGAAGGGGTCCAAGGCATGGAGTGGCGAGTCTCGCGGGAATACGTACGCTGCCGCCGCCCCTTGCGGAACGGGAGGTGCCCCCCGCAGCGCAGCCCCTCCATCCGCCTGAGACGAGGCAAAAGGGAGTCCCGGGCTCTGCTGCAGCTGCCGGCGTAGCGGGTGGGTGGGCTCCAAATACCTTTGCGCCACCTCACGGGCACGTTCCAGTAAGGCGCTCCTCTCGTTGAGCAGGTCCTGCTGTCGCTCCTCGTTCCGCTCCCCGGCGGCGAGTTGCTCAAGCTGGCATGCCCAGTTGAATAGTGCCACAGGGAGAAGTTGGTTTGCCTCCGGCGCCATCCGTGCCTGCCCGTTCCCGGCGCTCGTGCCGTGCACGCTAAGCGAGGTGAGAAGCTGAGCTGCCGCCCGGTGATGCCGCAGAGCCTTTTCGTGCTGCCCTGCACGAGCCCGCAGGAAAGCCAGCTGCATCTCACTTTTGGCGCACTGCAGGGGACTGCACTCCTCCTCCATGTTGGCAAGATGACGCATGACGGCCGCATTCTCCGGCGCCTTTGACATCCCCGCAGCCTCTTGTTCTCGGCGAAGAATGACGGCGACCCGCTTGGCGAGGTCGTAGGCGCGTTTTGCGTGTTGGATGGCCTGAAGCATCTCACGCTGCGAGGCGGCAGCGGCATCGGCATCCGTCGCATTGCCACCACCGCCGCCAGCGACAAGCATCTCCTGCATCATGGCATGGGTTGCTCGAACAAGCAGTAGCATCTGTGCCGCTATAAGCGGTGGCTGCCGCAGCTGGACGGCGTTGGTGTCTCTCCGTGGCCCTGTACCACTGCCGACTGACCCGCGCGTGCCGCCGTGCTTCTCGCGATGGCCCGTCTCTAACAAGCACAAGGCGCGTATCTCCTCACCCACGTCCGCCGCACGCTGCAGCACCATCAGCGCCTGCATCCGCAACGCCTTTGCCTGCCTTCGCTGTTCCGCCTCGGCGCTGCCCTGAGCCGTCATCTCCGCGACAGCGAAGTAGTGCCGCATCTTCTCCTTGGCAACCCGCTGAAGCTCCTGCACTGTTTGCGAGAAAATGCGCAGCGCATCGGGCGGGCGGTCGTTTGGCGGCATTGCCCGTATGGCGTCGCACCTCTCTTGCAGCGCGTCACCAGCCACGACCGACATTTTGCATACACACAGGAGTTAAAGTGGGAGGTGGTGCCTGCGTGTGCGTGTGCGTGTGCGTGGGAGACGACGCGGTAAAAAAACAACAACAACAACAAAACCAACGCCGCAGTGAATGAGGGCGATGTAGTGTGATCTAACGGGAGTGACAGACGAGCACCCAAAGTATACCCACAGTCTTCAGCTATGCACCCACGCTCTACGTGGCTTCAGCGCCCAACCCAGCCAGCAGCGGCGCAACGAAGAAAAGGGGCAGAGGGAGAGGAAAGAAGGCACTGACAGCAGCGGGTATGCGTGAGAGATGGAGACGCATAACTTCAATCACCTCCACGCCACCACACGCGCACAAGGCGCGACTGCGGCACGAGACGCGGATAACGGCAGATATATACACGCACGCACAGAAGCACCGTACACCTATTGCTGCAGACCGACACGCTCGGTGAGTGCATAAAAAAGGGTTAATCTCTCTCGCCTTTTTCTTTCCACTGCTGCTTCGGTATTGGGTATTGTGTGTGTGTGTGTGTT